AAATAATTAAAAAATATCCAAATAAAAAATTATAATAAAATGAATTAAATAATTAAAAGAGCAATTTTATTACAGTTTTATTAAAATGACTTTCAAACAAAATGTAGCTAAAACAGCCAATAAAAAAAAAACATATGAAAACATTTTTAAAAATAATAATAATAAACAAAAATACAAAATAAAATAAGCAAATGAATAAATAATGTATAAATTGTTACAAATTTTAACAACTGACCTGACTGGACCAGCAAAAAAAAACGTATTGTTCTGACACAGCTAACGGCAAGCCAGATGCTGAGATTAAAGTTCCTTTATTAGGATGAATTAATTCAACATTCTCATAATGAACTTATCCCAAGTGCATTCTATCTATTTCATGTTCATTTTTGTCTGATAGATGTAGTATTCGTATTTCATTCGTCTTTCCACCTCTGGCTCCTGTGAGAAGAGTAAAACCCCCGTCTTAATGTGTTAGCACATGACACATGCCCCCATTACCCATAAGTCTGTGTGCAGACAGAAGTGGGTTCACCCTCAGTGCAGCCTGCTGCAAAATGCATGTAGGAGCCATATAGCATGTCTGAAGCAGCTGTGAAAGCAGCGTTTCCCCAGCTCATCTCCCCTGAGGACCGCAGAGAGAAGGGTGGACCGCTTGTCTGCCCATTATTGGTGCATCAACGCTCTTAGCGTGGCGTTTTGTGACCTCGCAGAGGTTCAGAAGCCTTTTCCAGAAAGTTCCAGTAGAAATTGAGTCTTCCCTGTGGAGCGGCGTGCTCCTCTGTGGGCCACTAGGGACTTTTTAAGTCTGCTCATTGTGTTTTTCTGGCTGAGCACAAGCTCTCTACGACAGCATCCGTGCACTTTTAGTCTTCAAAATCAGATGATGTGGACAAACCTCCCTAAAACAGAGCAAAAAATATAAAAAACATCAAAGTTAATTCATACAAACACCATCAAATGGCAATTGTTGCTTGGCGGCCCATGTCAAAGAGTACACCCTCAAGACTCTAGAAACCAATACGTTGATCTGAAGAGCCTATAATGTAACATCATAAAATAGGGTCTGCGGATCACTGGGGGTCCGTCTCATATAGCCAGGGGTTCGCAATATTATGGACTTCACTCACTTTTCCAGCAGCCTAGATTCCATTATTATAGACTTGTTTTCCCTGTAAGCATTACAAAACTTCAGTAAAGAGAGATCTCAGCCTCAACAAAAAGTATTTGAAAATTGAAAAATAACAAAATATTTCAAATAAAATGTACTTGCAACAACCAACAAAAAAACAAATTAGAAATTAATTATAAATATAAAATATTTAAAAATATAAAAAAATGTATAAAATTAAATAGCAACATAAAACAAGTTTAAAATATTTTATTAACGTTAATTGCAAAGCAAATGTAAATAAACAAACAAATGAATGAATGAATGAATGAATGAATGAATGTTAAAAAAATGAAGCTGAAACAGCCAAAAAAAAAAAACTTATTACAAATTCATTAAAAATACAAAAAAAATTACAATAAATAAATAAAACAAACAAAATTAAATGGCAACATATTTCAAACAAAATGTAGCTAAAACAAAATATTTTGATATTAAAAACAAAAAATGTATATTAAAAATATAATAAATAGCAACACAATCCAGTTTAAAACATTTAAAGTTAATTTCAAATAAGATGTAGCTGAAACAGACTGAAACATGGCTTGTACAGAAGCACATACCATTGAGTAGCACCCTCAGAGTTCATTGTAGCCTGGTCTTGAAAAGTATATGCTAAAAACTATTTCTTTCTGGAGAAAAAGTCTTGGTGCTTAAGTTAAGAGTACGCTATCAAAAAGAGCCTAGGTATTTTCCGGTATGATTTTTGTTTGCTCATTTCTTGACCGGGATGCAATCTGGAAAAACCAATTTATGCAGCCGTTTCTCTGGTCTATCTTCTGTATTATAGAGATAAACGCCGTTGTTTCATAATTTCTCTAGCATGTTATATTGGTAGCGGTCTGAACAAACCAGTTCTCGATTCCAAAAAAGTTTGAGAAAACCTTGAAAAACAACAACAAAACTATTGATAAAAAAAAGTTATTTGCTGAAACTCAGATGCTCCAAAGTACCTTACATTTAGACACAATGAATAAACAGAAGACCTGCGGCTTTTCTGTTCATTCTGTTCACAGATGCATCCACTGATCAATGTCAGATGCATCCACATTTGCATAGGCTAATTCATGGATTAGTGCATCCCAAATCATCGTCTGTTGAAAATACATATGAAGCAATATGCAAAAGCAGTATGTAGGCTGACGGGTGGCAGAGGGTGGCACTCAGCGCAATAATCAGCCACAGAGAGCAGTCGTTCTGATAGGATTACTCTGAGATCTCTAAGCGTCTCTCTCTCTCTCTCTCTCTCTCATCTCTTTATCCTCTCATGCCGTGGAAGCTGTTGTTTGACAGTCGCTGGAGGAAAGCATGTCTGCTCTCTCGAGGCAGGGATTTAACAGCAGACGCACTTAATAGAACTCTTGCTTTCCTCATCACTGTCAGACGACTTCAGTTATTTTACACATGAAATCCCTCATTTGTGTTCAAATGTCTCATAATATTACAATAATACTAGACAACACCTAGAGAGTATTTCAAGGGAAGGAATGAGTGTTTGTGGTCCCTGAACGATAGATTACGCGAGATATTCCTGCTAAATGGGTGTCTTTATTTGTTGCAAGGGTATTTACATAGATCTATTTCAAAACCCAATACAGCAAGATTCCAAACAGCATCAGAATTATTTTTTTTTTAATCTTTTTTTAACTCTTAAATGAATATAAATAAAATAAACAACTCTCTCTCTCTCTCATTTATTTTAAATGCAGTTATTTTCATTTTTGCATTCATTTAACAGTTCAAATAATAGCTTGGACTGATACTTTTAAAAAGCATTTTAATGCTAATAAAATCTACATTTTCTAATTAATCTATTCTGATTTGGTTATTTGGTTAAATGAAATGAATATCATATCAACTAAAACAACCAACAAATACTAAAACTAATTTGTAAAATATATATTTTTAAATATTTAAAAACATTAAAATGTAAAATGTATAAAATAAATAAATGATTCATTAAAAAAATGCAGCTGAAACAACCAACAAAAAACTAATTACTAGAAAAATTAAATATTAAAAATGAATTAAAATAATAAACTTTCTTTACAAATATTACAAATTAAAATAAAAAAAATTAAATACCTATTTAAACTTTTTTTATTAAAGTTCATTTCAAACAAGATGTAACAGACTGATAGATAGCTTATGTATATGATATATGACACACTGAGTAACACCCTCAGAGTCCATAAAAGACCAGTCTTTTTCTGGAGAATATATGTTGGGTTTAAGTGTATATACGTGTGTATGTACGTATGTATTTAAATTGCAGTTATTTTAATTTTGTATTAATTTAACAGTTAAAATAATAGCCAATTTTATTTTTTTTTTTATTTAATATTTCAAAATATTTTTATGTTTTCTAATTTTTTATTATTTCACACGTTTTGATAATTTAACAGTTGAAATAATAGCTAAATATTAAAATATAATATTACACTCTAAAAAATGCTGGGTTAAATATAACCCAGCGCTGGGTTAAAACCTTTTTAACCCAGCTATTGGGTTATTTTGACCCAGCATTTTTTAGAGTGTATGCTATTATTTGCTACAGTATGTATGTATAAACATCAAGCTCACCTTAACCAATCTGAGAAGAGTATCAGTGGCGTTTCATAGCTTCAGGCCCAGCTATTGCAATCTGAAAAAGAAAAGAGAAACATTCAAACTGAAAGTGTATTGATTAAAAAACAAAAACAAAAAGACACCAATAAACACAAGTTTACCACAAATCTGCAATGGTTTACAAAGCATATAGTAAGACAATATTAAACATTAATTTATTTAAAGCTATAGTACATAGAAAAATATATAATTTTATCTCCTCCTTAAAAATAATTGGTGATAATAATGATTTGTTAAAGCAATATTACAGCTATTTATTAATCTTTTTACAATTTTACTTCTAATTTAATTGCCTCAGCAAAACGTAAGCCAAGAACAGCTTTAAATGAACAGGTTTGTTTTTGTTTTATCCAGTTTAAGGGCTAGTTTAGATGAGATTAGATTGTGACGGGTTGTTTACCTTGTGGAACGAAGGCCTGTAAATACAGCTACCGCCATCCTCATCAGCTCTGAGGTCAGCTGGGGTCATTTAGAGGTCATGTGGGGGCGGGCTGTTTAGTGGACTATAGAGACGGTCATGTGACCAGAAGGGGGAAGAAAGAGCAAAAACAGCAAGCAGACATCCCCAAAAAGAACCAAGGTCAAAAAGCCACCGCTTACATGATTAAATCTTAAAATATGAAATATGACAATATGTTGAATTACTTTCCATGTGCAACAGTACAAAGTTGCCATTTATAAAGGAGTATGATTAAAGATATATTAGTGGATAATTAACTTCTGGGAGGAAGTTGCTTTCATATGCTTTACCACAGACGAGTCTCATGTGTTTTCAAGAAGAAGGAATTCTAACAGATAATAAGGTAAGTTTATAATTGCAAATTTATTTCAAGCTGCCGTGTACGGTATATTACAAATAAATTTAATTGTGCCGGTTGCAATTCAATTTAATTCTACTGTCAAAATAGTTACATGCATCAGATTCGTTTTTTTTAAGTAATTCTAGAGAGTCAGGGGTGGGGGGTGGGGGGGACAAATATTGTTTTTGGTTTATTTTCACTTTTATGTGGGCTTAAAGGACTTTTTTCCCAATTTTTTTCTTCTTATCATAAGATACTGTACACTACACCTTTGATAATAATACACAGCAGATGTTAGTTTAAATTATGAAGTTTTACCAAGGTAAACAAGGACAAAATGTGCTCTCAAACACAATGATATTTTTTCTTTCAAAAAGTTTATTTTTTAATCAACTGAGACGTGAATTAAAGGGCTTACACAAGCTTACAAAGATTATAGCTCTTAACAGAAATGTATTAAACTGCCACCACCAGTACCACAATAATTTTCATTACTATCACTTTTTAAACTTCAGCATACATTTGATTAGACTTTTAATAGTTTTATAAAACAGTACCAGTTAAACTTTAGTCAACACTATTTGGTTTAGAAATGACCAGTAACACTTTGCTGTGCACTTAAAATGCATTACACGAACTTTTATAGGATACACGATGTGCCAAAAACCGCTGAATTCCCCGTAAATGTCTTTGACTATCACAAGCGATGCTTCAGTTTAGTCTTTTCTTGTTTTTAAATGCTCTGTTGCTATTTTTAACCCATCCGCGCTATATAATATACCAATGGAAAGCCAACATTAGTGGCATATAAAGGCTAATATGGACTATAATGCATTAGAATTGCACAGTAAAGTGTGCAGGAGTAACTTCTAGATGGCATTAACTTGAAGGAATCTCTCATATATCAGCTGAAATTGTGAAATTGAATTGGGAATTTTAGTCAGTCGGATTGCCCAAAACTTTCAATTTAGTCGCTCCTCAAAAGGTCTAAAAGTAGATCTCTCACTAGAAGAAAACACCTATTACCACAGAGCTCATTAAAGGGTTTAAACGCTCAACACAAAAACCAGACAAAACTACGCAGGCTTTTCTCATCGCAACTGAAACTGCACATAATTATTTGTATTTATTTATTTATTTATTTTTCACAACATGCTCCTATAAGCCCTTTAACGCTAAAGAACTTTCCATTTAGAAAAGAGAAAGGAAGGAAAACAACATGTGAGATTTTTTTTTACTTTTTTCTCTAGTTAAAGGTCAAATTTACAAGGGACACATTGAAGCTGATCACCCATCAAAAAAAAGTATCTACAAAAAATGACCTGCTGATTCTAAACATCGTACACCTTGTGTAACTCCGCCCCTAACCGCTAGTGCCCGCCTCCATCTGACATAAGTAGGTCTATTTGAATTCTGATTGGTTCGCTGATTTAAACTACATAATCCAGTGATCCGAAATATCCATTTATGGGAGTCGTCCATGTTACAACAGAATCAGTTCCACAGAAACTTAATTTTACCCATTGACTTCTTCAACTTTCTATTTTTGTCATTTTGGTTGATTTTATTCTCAAAAATGAAATAGAGTCCATAGAAAATCCATTACTTGGGAGGGCACATGAAGGACTGTAGCAGGTCAGAATCGGGAGTACGGCTGCTCTCTGAACACTTTTTTGCTTGTCCTTGTTGGTGGCGCCTTGTTACGGTTGTTTGTCCATTCCTCCGGGCCTGAAGAGGGAGACAAAGAGCAAAGGTCAGAAAGGTCTTTAGCCGTTCAGGCCTTGGTTAGAATGCTTTAATTAGTGCATTCTATAGTGAAACATGCTCATAAAATGCTGAACTAAATTTGTAAGACCTTCACAGGCTAACAGTGACATGTTTGAATACATACCCTGATGTTTTTGAGTGAATTAAATATGTTTGTGTGATGGTTGTCTACATTGCATGGTCAATAGTCATTTTAATGGAACTCGGCGTGAAAAAAGCTTTACGGAATAATCAAGACTTTGAAATGAGGTTAAAATATTACAAGTGTCACATTTTGCTGGCGTGTGGAAAAAATGGGTGACCTGTCAACAATATGCTCAGATCATATTTCACCCCAAAATAGAAATGAAAAATATTCTGAATCATGAAAAATTATATTTTAAAATAAATAAGTAAAATGTATAAAATATATGTAATATAAATTTTAATGTATTATGTATTAAATCATTGCAATACTTGTTAATTTACTCGTATGCTGACAATTAATTTAAATATATATATATATACATATGAAGAGTTTGGTTCCAAAACATGATAAACGCCATTTAAAAAAAAAAATGGAGTTTCCGCCAAATCTGTATTGTATCTGGTCGGTATTGAAAAGTCAGTTTTTAATTTGACGCAAAATGCGATATCCGCCGAGTTATTCTGTCGTGTTTTCTCCTTTTTTTTCCAAACCACGACAAACGCCAGTCTCCCTTTTCTGCAGAATGTGATATATCCGCTCAACCAATCACAGCGCACCATTCCATGCACTCTAGACAGTAATGGCGGCGCTTTGAATACACCCGGCATCCTAGTTTTCCTCATCTATTTTGTACTTTGTGATCAACAAACAAACAAAAAAATTAGGGCTGCACGATAAATCGCATGCGATGCACTTTTGGAAGTTGAATGTAAGGGAAATGTCATTTTGGAATTTATGTGGTTTAATGTGATGTTGTTCATGTATGTTCATGTATGTTCATGATTGTTGTAATTAATTTATAGCATTAACAAGATTACCCGTTGAATTATTTTTGGAGCTATGACTGATTGAATGTATTTTTAGTCCAGTGCCTCTATACAAGATTAGTATTGACCAAGTTCAGAGGCTGTCATATGTGGATCAACTTTCTATGTTGTGTATTTTCAACAGTTTCAATATGAAAAATAACTTTTATATTGATTCAATGGATTTATTGTGATCTTGCTCTTTTTCAGCTCTTCTTAGGGACAGGAAGGCACAAAGGCCGTTGTTCTAAAGTCACTCGTTTTTCAGGCTGGGAGCCGTTGCTAATAATCTTTCATTAGAGAGCTGTCAATCTCAGGTTAGCCTACGCTAGCTTCAAGAAAAGGGTTCAAGCGCACTGTCCTTGCATTTAGAAAGAACAAGGATGTGTATCAGCTGGATAATAGTGAGTTATCCTTTGAACTGTCAAGCCGTCTAAGCGTTGTACCACCTGGAAAAGTGTTAAGTTGAGTGTTATGGATTGCTTATGTGTGTGTGAGTGTAGAGCTGTGTGTTTCAAATGTGGTCGCAAAGTGACAACTGATTAGAAAGTGACATAAAGGAAATGTGAAAGACTAAGACAAAAGGTAAAGTCACTTTTAAGATGCAGTTACACTTACTTTTCCTTTTTTTTTTTTATCAGTTCTGTAATCTAATGTGCTGTCATGTCAAAACATGCTAACAGTGTCACATCTCATTTCCTTGTGCTTTATTATATTTATTATTGGACTCTGATAACATAGGCACTGTTATACCGAAAAAGGTTTATTTTTCTAAATGATGAAACTTTTTGACCCCGGTGTAAGATAAATAACCAAATACATATATCACATGTCTATATATATTTGGGATAAAATTGTTTGTTCTGGTGGAAATGTCACCACTGATGATTTTATTATTTTTTTTTTTTACTCTTTTTCTTCTAGATTATCATAGGTTGTAATACATAATAATAATATAAAATATAATAATATAATATTATTTTATTTATAATTATATAATATAAATATATATTACAAATATAAACATGATAATCACATAATAATGTTACAACAATAATATTTATAATGTATTCATAATAATTCATATTTTAATGATGGAAATTTGGGTCTGAAACAATAATAAAATAAAAATGAAATCTATACATATAAAAAACATTGGAAAAATTAATAAATTAAGTAAATGAAGTTTCAAAATTTTGAATGTGACCTTCATATAACAAAAATCATAAATTAGGGGCAAAATGTTGTGGTGGAAATGTCGCCACTGATTAATATTTTTTCCTCTCTTTTTTTAAATAATCATATTTTCTCAAATATTATAATTAATATTTTGTTGATAATAATATAATACAAATATATAATTAATTAATAATAAGTAGTATTATTAGTAATATAATAATATTTCATAATATATTTGTAATTAAATAATAAAATATGCATTGTACTAAATACAAAAAAAAAACATAACAACTAGTATTAAAATAATAATCCATATTTATAATGTATTTATGACAATTGGTATTTTAATTATGGATTTATATATTTTGAAATTAATGTCTGGGTCTAGAACAAGAATAAAATAAAAAATAAAATATAGCATTTGGAAAGCAGAAAAAAATAGGTAGAAGTTTCCAAAGATTTAATGTGACCTTCATATAACAAAAACTTCCAGGACATAAAAGTGACCTGAAGAAATCTATAAACTGAAAGTTTTAAAAGGGTCATATGATGCGATTTCAATTTTTCCTTTCTCTTTGGAGTGTTACAAGCTCTTGGTGCATAAATAAGATCTGTAAAGTTGCAAAGACTAAAGTCTCAAATCCAAAGAGATATTCTTTATAAAAGTCCGAGTTTGAGCAGTGTAGAGTAGCGCTTATTGTTTTTTATTTCTCCGATCACAAATGCAGACGTGGTTTTATGCTTACGCGGCGCAATATGCAACGCAAAGCGTAAAAACCCAGTATAAGTCATTACAATCAGTAATTATGTCCCCACTGGATGCAACAAATGCCTCGTTTGTACTGGGTTTTAATGTTCTTTTTAGCAGCATCATATGACCCCTTTAAAACTATGTGCTGGTTAGAAATCTCTTTTATAAATAATACAATTGTAAACACGCACACAAATGCTTAATTCAGAGAAACTGCACACAAATGCATCTGTATATACGCACTAAAGGCACACACACATTACCATTCTAGCTGCTGAGAATACAATGGCACATCTTATCTTTTTTTGCTGGGACAATGAGCTTACAACAGCTACATCAGTAATTTCAGAGCATTGCAATTCTTCTCCAGATATCTCTGCCATATTAATGCTATTCTGTACCTACAGTGTTCGTAACTGCAAACTTGTTTGCCTTTCACCGAATGTGTATCTGACAGCATTTTGTTTCTTTTGCTGCATCCAAAGCCGTCTCCCTTCAACAGTCATTGTAAATGCCTGTTCATGTAAATACAATGCTGTTCTATAGACACTGTAACCAAAAGCCTTGCAATGCCAGCAGTATTTATAACAAGAGCTGTACAGCAGGAGCTGTGTGTGCTTTGGGCAAAAGACAGACTCAAAGTTTGTGCACTAACTAGACGTATTATAAAATAGACAGTGTATTGCTTCACTGCAAAATGGAAATCAAGCAAAACAGGCTGTCGATCTACTGCAATAATTCCACATGATTAGAAAACAGTATTGACAGAAGAAAAAAAAAAAAAAACATCTTACCGTAAGAGTCATATGATTCTCCGCTGATACCATGGCTGTATTCATAATAATCATCTGAGCTGTGAAAAGAAATGAGAGACAGATATTTAGAACAGTCTTCTTTATATATACTGTATGTATATATATATATATATATATATATATATATATATAAAATACAGGGTATACAAGATTTCACAGGGTATACATGATTTCACATATACAGAAATCTAATTTAAAAAATGTAAGAAAAATAATTAAAAATGAGATAGATAGATAGATAGATAGATAGATAGATAGATAGATAGATAGATTACATTTTATTTCTGTATTTCAGAAATCAGACATATATTCAGATCAATCCTATATAAAAAAATATGTGCATACAATTTAAATGCTATTCTTTATAAATTCTAATTTTAATGATCCATTGTCCAAAAAAAAAAAAAAAAAAAATCAGTTGCCACTGTATGTGTTTGTATGTGCATTTATATACAGACAGAGAAAACAAAAGCAAGAAAAAGGTGATGAGAGTTCAAGGCATGTGCTTACTTGACATTGTCTGCTCCCTATTTAAATTGACAAAGCAACATCTCAGCAGCCACATGAAGCAGAATAACCCATCAGAGAAGCTATTTTCCAAGCAGATTTGCAGTGCGCCTTCCGTTCATTCCTGTGTCTCAGATGGTTTGCTCCTGGGTCTCTGTTCCCTTTCTGCCTCCAAATTGAGTTTCAACATAGGCCCTCAGCTGAGCTGTCCAGCTAACCATATCCCGATGTTCATGCTCCCATAATTCCCCTGGCCTCAGTAAGGATGGCACCATGAGAAATAGAAGCCTTGCTGGAAAATAAAAAGATGCTCACCAGATTTCTCAGCTTCCACCATTGAGGATTCTTCAGATTTAGACCTATTGTTTACATTCTATTCTATAGCAACTCCTTCATACTTTCTTTTATATCAGCTTCCTTAATTTACATAACTCCTGCTCTCAATTTCATAATAACTCCTTTCAGTGTTTCCCATTAATGTGGCAGTGCTCCACTGCGTAATCTGTCCCACTACAGTTTCATAATGAACAAAAATATTTTTACACTATTGACACTATTCTTAACAACATAAAAGTTCTCTAACGTTGTGTTTTGTGCCATTGCCTTGGCGAAACACGTCAATCAAAAAAAAATTTGAATAGTGATATGGTGTAGTGCACTTATCAAAATGCAAAAGGTTTGGATTTAATTAAATTTAAAATCATTAATGATTTAAGAGTATTTAGTCTGTTGTGCTGCAAAGTTTCTAAATGAAGCGCGGCACTGTGTTCATATGAGCAGCTCATTATCCTGTTTTCAACAACTCGGTTAATCACACGATCATAACTTCTCCCCACATTCCAATTATACTTTCAAAACTCCTCCCCTCATTCCAATCATATTATAACCCCTCCCCCATTCCAATTATGCCAACATAACTCCTCCTCTTCAGTCAATCACAATACTATAACCCCTCCCCCTTAGTCCATTCCTGCTATCATAGCTCCTCCCCATTCCAATCATACGATCAAAACTTCTCCCTTTCAATCAATCATAATACCATAGTTCCTCCTCCATTTAATCATACTATCTATAAGTTGTCATGCAGAGAGGAAATCCCATGTCAAAGCTCACGCAGAGGTTCCTATCGCCAGCCCGCTGTTACTGCTAGCTTCACGCTTAAATGTGTCTGCACGCCAGGGAGAAGACGATAGGATGAGAAAGAGAGAGAGGGTTGTGCTGGATTGCAGTGTGGAGACCAACAACCATGGTCACTATTCCCACACACAAGCTCAGGAAGCCAGTGAAAGCCGGGAGAAGGCTTCCTATCATATGTGTGATGAAATTCCCCATTTCCACTGCGCATGAAGGTGAAATTGAAGAGACCTAAAGCTTTTGTGTTCAGTAATGCATCAGTCAACTTCACAACCTGCTGCCAGATGCATCTCTCTCCGCGTGTTTCACACCGTAAAGAACCTCTTCTCCTCAATCTGAACACAAGCTTGGGTTCAAACCTAGTTAGACACCTTTAAATTCTTCCCTGACACATCGTCAATATTCCTTTTTCCCTTAATTCAGCTCTCTCCCTCTCCTCCAGTGCCGAGTTTGTTCTGTTCTACTCAATTACCCTGTTCGGCTCACTCCAGTCGAGGTAGAGCGTTAGCAGAAATGATGCATTTAAGTCGCACACAGTCCAATTCCCTCCAATTAGCAACACACACCTGTAAACACTGCAAACATGCTGTCGAATGAATTACAATCACCCAGAGGAACATTACAGAATTTGGCGTGAACAACATGAAAGCATGGATCCATCCTGCCTCGTATCAACGGTTCCGGCCGCTGCTGGTGGTGTAATGCTCAGCCTACCTGAGTGCCGTTGCTGACCATGTCCATCTCTTCATAACCACAGTGTACCCATCGTGGCTGCTTCCAGCAGGATAATGCGCCATGTCACAAAGCTCAAATGATCTCAAGCTGGTTTCTTGAACATGATAATGAGTTCACTGTACTCAAATGGCCTCCACAGTCACCGGATCTCAATTGAGCACTTTTGAGATGTGGTGGAATGGGAGATTCTCCAGCCGACAAATCTGCAGTATATGTGTGATGCTATCGTGTCAATATGGACTGAAATCTCTGAGGAATGTTTCCAGACCCTCACTGAATCTATGCCACGAAGAATTAAGGCAGTTCTGAAGGCAAAAGGTCTAACCGGGTACTAGCAAGGTGTACCAAATAATATATATATATATATATTAGGGCTGGGCAAGTTAACGCGTTATTATTTATTATCGCGTTAACGCATTAATTGATTAACGCCAACAATTATTTTAACTCACATTAACGCAGTTTTTTTATTATTATGAAAGTCCGTTGCTCACTGGCTCTGAATACACATACAGACAAACCATGGGTCACAGGAGGGGTAGGATGTTGATCAGTACTGGCTTGGGATGGATGTCATCACGCGTCTCAACCAATGAGAGCATTTGGGGTGGGTCTAAGACTGCAGCAGCATCCACATTAACGCTCCCAATAAAATTATTTTGGCTAAGCATCAACATTCACAAACCACTGTTCACTGTTATTTTTAACAGAAAAGAACGTGCTCATGCTCGTAATCACGACTTCATAAGTGGGAAATAGGAAGTTTCCGATAGCACGTGAAGACAGCAGAGAAGTGCTCTCGCTCAGCACAGTGGAGTGCCGTTTTGTTAACTTTGTGGTTGATTATGAGTCGTTTGGGACGCGGTAACTCACGGCCCTATTCACAATATATTGCTTTACAGATCTAGCACTCTTGCCGTTCAGAAATGTTCACGCAATCATGCTGCACGCATCATAAGTCCCGCGCTCCGGCACAGTTAGCGCTCACACTCACTGATCTATATATAACTGAATCGTGCTCTGGCCCACCTCTTCCAACTAAGCCAGGGACGGCTAAACGAACCGTACGGCATGGAGCGATCACACTAGTCAAACAAACCAGGCTTTGGGGGTCAAACGCGCTCGGGTACGGTTAAGAATGCCAAGTGTGAGTACACCCTTATTCTCCCACATCCTGCACACAAGAGTCTCTACCCACCCGCACTCGCCCATCAAGTGTTGTCCCGCGCCGCACTCTACTGCGTTGGGTCCCGCAATAGTGCAGGTCTCTACTGAGAAGGTGCCTGTTATAATGTTATGATCAAAGCTCTGGACTCTGTTGTTTTTCTTGTTTTTCTATAACAAACTATAAAATAATTTCTATAAAAACGTTAATGCCCTGGCAGTGGCAAATAGCTCGTTTTACATTTAATTTGATTACATTAATGTTATAAGTTAAGATTTACAAGAGAAATTTTAACTGCTACTATGTAAAAGGAATACTGCTGTAAAAAAAGCACCTTATTTGTAAGTGTTTGCAAACCAAATGTTATTGCCCTTTTGTTCATATAGCAGTACTTTTAAATGAAAAAAGTGCACAATACACTACTTTTGAATTCATTATTGAATTTTGTGCATAACAAAACGATTAAACATTCCGTCATGCAATTAATCGCGATTAAAAATTTTAATTGTTGCCCAGCACTAATATATATATATATATATATATATATATACACACACACTCAGTAGTTATAACCAATTTCTTGTGAAATAAGATACATTATGCACTTGATGTTTTCTCTCTCTCACACTCAGCTGGTGGGGTCGAAAGTACAAATGATTCGATTTTGCATTTATTATAAATGAATGCAACGTTTTTCACTATAAATTAATTGTATAACTATAAATTAAAAGCATAACAATTTGAATGAAAAATGACAGAATATGCTTTATTATTTTTATTATTATTATTATTTCATTAAAGTGTCCCTATTACACCATTTTTAAGGTTCCTAATATTGTTTTGGGAGTCTCCTACAAACATGCATGAAAGGTCAAAAAACGCTTTTGTTCTCTCAAAATATGCATTTAATATCACCTCATTTTCCAACAATTCTCAAATGATTCATTCGAAGCAGTTCTAAAATTCAGTCTCTCTAAACCCCTCTTTCCAGTGAGCCTACTCTGCTCTGATTGGTCAGATGGCCCAGTCTGTTGTGATTGGTCTACCGCGTACAGCATGTGTTGGAAACGATACGCCCACTGCCATAGTTCCGTATACTGAGCACTGAGTATACAAACATCTATTATTTATCAAGCTTTCAGGTTGTGATTCAGTGGAGCCAGCTGGTCCAAATAAAATGGGTACTGAGCCATCTTTCAAGAGCAAGTGTTTTGTGAATCCCACATTAAACTCTCTGAGATTAGAGAAGCAGTCGTCAGTAAAATGATAGGAACACAAAAAAAAACAAAGATCAGGGTTTTACTGCTGTGGTACAGTGGAAAAATTAATTTTAACCACTGATTCTTTGCAGCCTCATCTTTCGGAAGTGAAAATAAAATTAATTTACTTTCACAGCGTAGGACACAGCGTCTTCTCGACATGAACAAGCAACAGTGTTTGAGGGCAGGTCAAGATTTTCGTGGCCGGCTAACGTAGAACATAGGCGGGCATTATGCA